TTTAAAGGACACTGAAAGGAAAAACCAAACTGTAAGTCTGATTTGAGTGCCAACAGTCTCGGTTATGCCTGTGCATGGCAGTCAGAGCACACAGGAGAGGAGAAAAGGCAGATGTGAAGCAAGCCATGAGAAGGGAGAGACCAGGAGGCACAGTGGCAGCAGAAAGGAAATGGGAGGGAAAGTAGCACCCAGCATGAAAAGAACCACAGCAAGAAATACAGAGGTAGCCTGGTCCACCCGCCACATTCATCCTGAATGATCTCAGTTTTGAACCACATTTGAATTCCTGAGCAGCCAGGGTATGAGCAGCTGAGATTTCTACATCACAATCCCCACTGCTGAAGTCAATCTGGAACCTTTGCTTAAAATCTCAGAGCTGACTCTGCAGCATTAATGTTCATGCAAACCACCTTGCAGCTTCTAAAAGGCAAATTTCCAGTTCAAAGGTGTGAGATCTAAGGCTCCTGCGTTTCCAGCAATCTCTCTGTGATGTTGATGGAACCAGTACGCAGATCCTACTTGGAGGAGTAAGGACCTAAGAAATCCAGGTGAGCACATAGAAAATTACAGCACACAGAAAAGATGGGATGGCGAAGATCTTCTTGGCAGGGCACCAGTGGCTCAGGCCAGTCAGGAGTCTGAGATCTGAGGATTACAATTCGAAGCCAACCCAGGCTCTAAAGTCCATGTGACTCATCTCCAATTAGCCACCAATAGGCCAGGAATGGCTCAAGTGGTAGAGTGCTAGCCTTGAGCAAAAAAAAAAGCTTGAAGACAGTACCCAGGCCCTGATTTCAATCTCCACTACTGGCATGAAAGAAAAAAAATCTTTTTGGGTTGTCCTAGAGCTAGAGGAGCCGAGAAGACAAACAAGAGAAATAAGCCATACCCTAAACAGTTATTGGGCCAGGTACCAGTGGCTCATGCCTATAATCTTAGCTACTCAGGAGGCTGAGATCAGAAAATCACAGTTCAAAGCCAGCCCAGGCATGGAAATCCATGAGACTCTTATCTCTAATTAACTACCAGAAAGTTGGATGTAGCACTGCGGCTCAAAGTGGTAGAGCGCTAGCCTTGAGCACAAAAGCTCAGGGACAGTGCCCAGGCCCTGAGTTCAAACCCCACAACTGACAAATAAATATTAAAACAGTTATTTGTTCAGTGTATATTTGGTGTGAGACGATCCTAAGTGAAAAGAAGAGGGAGAAAAAAGAAAGAAGGGGGAAATAATGTAAGAATAGATGGATTATAAGAGAAGCATGAAACTGTTGGCTTCATCCAATACAGGGAGAAGATTGGTGGATTTATTAAGTCACTTGTGCACGGGGATGTGTTGAAATCACAGCCTCACATGAAGAGGCCAGTAACCTACAGACAGCAAGCAGCAGGCTCCTCCCTGCAGTGCAATGGGACATGATAAAGAAGCCTGCAGGGTGCTAGAATGGCTTGAGTGATGAAGGCCAGTAAGCAGGACCTTTTCTCTTTCTGCTTGATTCTGATTCTTTCTATACTATACACAGATATGCCACCTAAGTTACATTTTATCACACAATTCCAGGGACGGCGGTGAGGGTAAAATGAGATCATATGTTTAAAATTCTTTTGAAATGGTTCAGGTATATACAATGAGTAAAGTGTTCCTCCTCTTTGGCTCTGGGGATCATTCGGCTAGAAAAATTAAGATATTAATAATAAATAAATGAACGTCACAGTTTATGGACTCAAGTAAGAGAGCTCATCTGATACCTTCATGTGACCATAAATAAAAGTTGGCCTTTGTGCTTTCAGGGACTCAGTCACCAGACCCACGAGGTCAGAAGGCTGTTACTCTATGTGGATCAGAGGTGGCGGCTGGCATCGGCTCATGAGTACACTCTGTCCCCGTTTCCAGTGTTCAGCAGGCCACAATGTCATCTGAATTGACTGCCTAGCCCTGTTCAGTTCGTGTAGTGCTCTTGTCACCTGCCATTTTATACCTTGACTCCCTTGTTTGGAACTTAGAGTAAATTGTGTCTCTTTCTCTCACTTTTACGGCTTGTTAAAGCATTTCATAGACGTGCAGGAGGTGTGGGCAGAGGAGCAGGTTCTGGGAGACAGAGAGCTCTGCCCAATCTCAGCCCTAAATGCAAAGTGTGGGGGGGAGGGGGGGGTTTCCCATGCTCCTCGTGCATCACACAATATCTGGAGTAAGGGAACGGCTGGGATGGATGGCTCAGAGAACAGAGCCAGCAACTGCATCCACAGTCTGAATCAACATTGCTCCCCTTCCTGAGTCACTGATCTTGTTGATGAAGAGCCCACAGTTCTGCTATGTACTTGAGTCCCATCACCATGCAAATAAAATAACCCAAAGTACTGCTCTCTGAAACATTGAGGATTGGTGAGAAGAGGACAGAGAAAAAACTCAGGGAGACCTCTAGCCATTCCTACAGGCCTGAACAAAGGGTAGAAGACAGCTTTGTTACTTTCTGACCAGCAGCCATCTACTCCTGGCAAAGGTAAATACAAATCCTTTGGAGGAACATAGTCTCAACCCTAAGCTCAAAGAATCAAAGAAGGCTCCAAGGAATACAAGCTCACAATATGAAATAAAAGTGACTCAAATTAGGCAGATTACAAAAAATACCTAGAACATCTAAGTTTTTGTGAACAATCCACCCTAGACTTGTAAAGTGTACAGCCCACACAATGGTAGAAATGGACCCTGACTGCCTATTGCCAGGACTGTTGTTCAGCAGTGTTCTTAAGGGCCAAGGAAATGCAATAAGGCAAAATCCTCTTCAGCTAAGTAAGAAAGGAAGGGAGAAAAAAAAAAAAAACCCTCTCACTGTAGTTAGATAATATGATTGTCTACATGCAAATTCCAAAAAGAAAATATCATTCCCATTAAGAGAATTCAATAAAGCAACTGATAAAATATCAGACTACATAGGTTTTCTGCTAAGAGAAAGAACAGTTAGAAAGGTAAAAGCTTGCTGTGAGCCAGTGGCTCATGCCTATTATCCTAGCTACTCAGAAGGCTGAGATCTGAGGATCATGGTTCAAAGCCAGACCAGGCAGGAAAGTCTGTGAGACTCTTATCTCCAATAAACCACCAGAAAACCAGAAGTGGTGCTGTGGCTCAAGTGGTAGAGAGCTAGCCTTGAGCTGAAGAGCTGAGGGACAGCACCTAGGCTCAGAGTTCAAGCCCCACAACCAACAAAAAAAAAGGAAGGAAGGAAGGAAGAAAGAAAGAAAGACAGAAAGAAAAGAAAGAAGATAGAAAAAAAGAAAGAAAAGACAAAAAAAAGAAAAGAAAGAAGGTAGGTAAAAGCTCCTCAGGAGGAGGAAATCAATAAAAAAGGCAGAACACCCACATGTATAAGTGGGAATTCCTGTGATGAATAACATGTCACCTCTGCATAATAGGGGATATTTAAAATAGGGAAAAGATAAACTTTTCATAAATGACACTGAAATAATTCATTCAAATAAGTTACATGAGGATGAACAATCTTTTTTTCTAGTATCAGGCATCTTTTTTTCTAGTATCTAGCATCTCCAGCTTGCTCAACTGATATTCTACTACTGAGCCATATTTACAGGCAAGTTTTGGGCTGATTAATTGGAATTAGAGTCTCGTGGACTATCCTGCTCAGGCTAGCTTTGAACATCTCTCCTCTGGGTGTCAGCCTTCTGTGTAGGTAGGATTGTGCCAATAGAGCCTGGCTTGACTCTTTTTTTTTTTTTAAGTGATTAAAGTATTACAAGAAAGTTTGCCAAATACCTTCCCAATCTCAGAAGCTGAGAGAGCTTCCTGAAATAAGCTCCACAGACCAAAATACACAAATTTAGTGACTTCAAAATAACAACCAGAACAACAGTAGTAAAAATTTATATCAACTAGAAATAGTCTTTTTTTTTTTTTTTTTTTGGTTGTGGGGCTTGAACTCTGGGCCTGGGCGCTGTCCCTCAGCTCTTCAGCTCAAGGCAAGCGCTCTACCACTTGAGCTACAGCGCCACTTCCTGCCCGGGCTGTCTTTGAACCGTGATCCTCCTCAGATCTCAGCCTCCTGAGTAGCTAGGATTACAGGCATGAGCCACCGGCGCCCAGCTCAACTAGAAATATTCTATAAAGAAAGTTAACAACAAAAAGAAGTGATACATATGTGTCATAGGATTACCACATCAAGAATAGGTAATGGAATGTTGGAGATGTAGCTCAGGTGTAGAGTGCGGGGTAGGAGATATCTACTGTGCATGAGGCCCTGGGTTCAATCCTCACTACCATAAAATCAATCAATCAATATCAATCAATCCATCATTCCTACAAATAAGTAAAAAACATAATGTAAAATAAACTAAGGGCATGAGTAGGACATTTAAGTCAAAGAAATACAACAACCAAGAATTTCATGAAAGGAATCCTTGCTGGGCACTGGTAGCACACCCCTTAATCCCAGTTACTCAGGAGGCTGAGATCTAGGGATTTTAGTTCAAGGCCACTTTGGGCAGGAACATCTGTGAGACTTATCTCCAATTAACTACCAAAAAAAAAAAAAAAAAAACCCATAGGAAGTGGAGCTGTGGCTCTTGTGGTAGCGCACTAGCCTTGAGCAAATACATGCTCAGAGATACCACCCAGGCCCTGAGTTCAAGACCTAGGACTGGCACCAAAAAAAAAGGAAAAGAATGTTCAACCTCAATTGCAATTGAGGTTATAATAGTAGGCCATCAATAAAACAAAGTAAAACAGGTCATCATTTTTATTCATCCAAGGGAATAAAATGAACTACAGAATAGACAGCAAGTGTTCTGATGACAAGGTGTAGGGTGATCTAGGCACGGAGGAGAGCTGCTAGACAACTCCAAAATCAAACCACATATAAGCTGTAACGAATGGATTCAACTCCCCAGTGTCTCCTTTAGAGAAACACTAGCATACCCCATATGCCAGCTCACATATGTAATACAAACTGAGGGCCAGTGATAAGCCTGAAACATCAGAACAGCTTAAATACCTGTCACGAAGCACTGGCTCAATGAAGTGATTTTATACTGTGAAATCTTAGGCGGCAGGTACACTTATTGAAGTAGAGCTCCATACAGACATAGATAATCTCCAAGTGGTGCTATTGATTGCAAAAGAGAATGAAAAGACATGATGAAAAACACACTGACCAGCACACACACACACACACACACACACACATGTGTACATGCATACACATGTGTGGAAGGGTAATAAACACAGTACACTGGTTACTTTTGTGCGAAAAGGAGGTCAGGATTAACAAGGTGAACAAAGGAGAATTTAGTTTTATCTACCCTGCTTTGCCATTTTGCCAGGGCCATGTAATTATTATTTTACAATTCAAAAAGTGAATACCTACAAAAGAGTACAGCTAATTTTTTGGTTGCCCATGAAGTTTATTCTGGAATAATTTGGGATCAAGTTGATTGCTAGGAGCTATAAATGCTTCCTCTGAAGGGCTGGATAGTTAACAATTTTGGCTTTGTGAGCCATACCATCTTTTGTGCAACTATACCATTTTGCTCTTGTAGGACAAAAGCATCCACCAACAATGCATAGTGAATGAACATGCTGTGTCTCAATAAAACTTTATTGATAAAAATAAAACAACTGGAAGGCCAGATTTAGCCTGTGAATTTAAAGCTGGTGAATCTCAGGTTTAGACTAAGATTAGTGTATAACTAATAAATTTTTAAGTGCTTTCATGTACAGAAAATCCATCTTTTCTATTAGCCAACTAATTAAATAAGCTATAGTCTCTGAGGCCTAGCTCAGAATACTTTAGACTCATCTTAGTGGAGATCATGCATCACCTTTCACCTGGGTGGAGACCACTCACCCGCCCAGCAGCAGCATCACACAGCCTTTCTACAGAAGCCCCAGACCCACCTCTGACTTGGGAAGGGCTCAGTGGCCTTGGAGGTGTCTTCTGCCCCACACAAGATTTACAAGGGTCTTAGGGAAGCGCCTCTGGCCATCAACGTGGCCAGGAGGGGTTGTGCTGGAGGGGAGGAGGCAGAGAGCCTGGGGACATGGAACATTTCAGGACAGAGGCAGCCTGCAGAACAAGGTGACCCCCCATACAAGCTGGAAACTAAGACCTCCAAAGCTCAACCACAGTGCTGTGCCTGGTTGTGACAGGGTTGGGAGGGACCTCCAAGGAGTGGCGAGGCTTGGTGACTGTCCTGCTGCTGTCCTTGGGACCGGAGGCTGCTGACCCTCACCCAGATGAGCCTAGAGGATCCAGGGTAAGTTGATCCTGGCTCCCACAGGCCAGAGCAGTATTATTTTCCGGTTAGGGGACTCCAGTCCATCGCAGCTAAGTCATAGCCACCCACTCTAGCTAGCATCTACTGCACTTATTCCTCTCAGAGGCAAGGGTAGGCCAGGGAAGCAGGGGCCATGAGCTCAATATTCAGTACGTGTCTTCATTCTCTTTTTCAGCCGAGGAACAAGGGGAGTACAAAGCCCCCAAGCTTCCCAGCCCACCATTGCTGACCTCCTGTGTGAGACACGTTCTCCTTCCCACGACCCTTCTGCAGGAGCTGGAGGGCAGTTGGCCGCCAGTAAAAGCCAGTACAGAAAGACCATACCTGCTGGGGTGCAGCTGCTTTGTTCCCACTTCTTTGGGTGTCACCTTGAACACTGAGCGCAGCACGGCCACTTGGTGCAGTGGGGCTTCAGCTTTGCTCACATTTGGTAGGAGTGAAGGCTGGGCTGGCAGGGAGAGGCTGAGGTCCTGCTGAAGGAAGGACAGTTTCCTTTTCCTGTGTTGGCCTCAGCTATGGCATCTCCGGATATGAGCTAGGCTTGTCTCTCACCTGCATTTCAGCCCAGGTCCAATGTAGGCTCTAAGTGGCTCCATTTGGCACTCCTAAGTCCCAAGTCCAGCTAGGAACTAGCAAACCAACAGATTACCGTATTTACTCTCATTATATTACCCCTCCTTTTTTCTGCCCCCCTCACACTTGTCTTTCCTGTCAAACACTGAAGGAGCAGTACACCTGTCCACTCTGCCCAAGTAATTCTAGGCCAACTGTGCTTCTCAAAGTCTCTGTGTATTAGCAGTTGGGAGCAAAGTTCCTTTTTTTGGTCAGTCCTGGGGCTTAAACTCTGAGCCTGGATGCTGTCCCTGAGGTTTTACTGCTTGAGCCATAGCTCCACTTCCAGCCTTTTGTGGTTAATTGGAGATAAGAGTCTCATGGACTTTTCTACCTTGGCTGGCTTCAAACCACGATCCTCAGATCTAGCCTCCTGAGTTACTAAGATTGCAGGCATGAGCCACTGGCACCTGGCTGCAAAGTTCCCTTAAGATTTCTTCCTTGGTCTAAGCTACCTTCCTGGGCAGTACTATTTCAGGTAAAATTGAGACAAGTGCTAAATTATGACAGTGTCTGTCACTGGGATGTTGATGTGAGAGGAAGGGAAACAGAGGTAGGACAGCAGGGGATGGCTATAAGACAGATGTGTCACCTGCACTCCAATTTCAAGACAGAAACTGACCGGGAACAGAGACATTGGACGCATGGGAAAGTTTGGAGGGTAATTTTCTCATCCGGGTCCCACCAGGACTGGCAAAGGTTGACACAAATCTCAACTGCCCAGGAGGGTGCCTTGGGCAGGAAGGATCTAGAACAAGTGCAATACTGAACTTGCTTCTCAGTGGAGACAGCCTGTCTTGTGTGATCTGGGTAGCAAGACATAGCCTGGGGGCAATATCCTAGGTCTGGATGTACCTCAGAGAAGCTGCAGATTCGAAGGTCACAGCCAAAGGGCGTGGGAAGGCTGAAAAGGGTTAAGAATTCACCGAGGATTTTCATTTCCATGATGGAAAGGAGCCAGGCAGGTCCGCACCCAGGGCAAAATGGGCAGGATCCCAGCCCGGGAAAGGCAGCTGGCCATAAGTGCTGGAGTTATGGATCAAACACGTAGGCTTGCATCATCTTTCCCATCTCTCCCGACTCACAAGGGCCTGGCTTTATTTCTGAGTATGAGGTGCCCTAGATCGCAGGTCTGCCAAGCCTTGCTAGTAGGTAACTACAGAGTCTATGTTAGTCATGGCAGCATTTGGAGAGAAACCAAAGCATCCAGTTATTAAACAACAACAGCTTATTGATGCTCCCAGACCCCAGGGCCTAAAGTAAACCCAAGCACATAGGGAAAATAGGTGAAATTGTACCTGACACTCTCCCCCTCCCCCCCCATTTCTACTGTGGTAAAGCAGATCTGAAAAGCTGATGTACCTTCCTGGCTTTGGATTCATCAAATATTTTCTCTTCTTCCCAGGAATATTTGCATTTAAATATATAAATAAATATATTTAAATATGTAAGTACTGCTAGGTGCCAGTGGATCAAGCCTGAAATCCTAGCTACTTGGGAGGTGGAGATTGTGAGGGGCTGGGGGAAGGGTGTTGCAGTGCGAGGCCAATCTGGGTATAAAAGTTCAGGAGACTCCATCTCAACCAATGGCTGGGCATAGCAGCTCATGCATGTCATGCGTAGTGATGTGGGGAAGCACAAGTAGGAAGATTACAGCCCAAGCTGGTCTGGGTGCCTCCAAAATAACACGCTAGGAACTGGTGGCTCACTCCTATAATCCTTGCTACTCAGAAGGCTGAGATCTAAGGACTCACAGTTTGAAGCCAGACTGGGCAGGAAAGGCTATGGAACTATTTTTTTCCCCCAATCCCGGGTCTTGAACTCAGGGCCTGGGCACTGTCCCTGAGCCTCTTTGTGCTCAAGGCTAGTGCTCTACTACTTGAGCCACAGCATCACTTCTGGCTTTTTCTGAGTAGTTTATTGAAGATGTGTCTTACAGACTTACCTGCCTGGGTTGGCTTCTAACCATAATCCTTAGATCTCACCCTCCTGAGTAGCTAGGATTACAGGCACCCGGCAATATGACTATTATCTGTAATTAAACATGAAAAAGCCAGAAGTGGAACTGTGGCTCAAGTGGTAGAGTGTTAGCCTTGAGAGAAAAAGCTCAGGGACAGCACCCAGGCCCCGAGTTTAAGACCCAGGATCAGCACCAAAACAAAACAACAAAAAAGCCTCCAAACAATAACAACAACAACAAGCCCTAAAAATCAAAAGCTGAAGGATCTAACTAAAGGAGTCAAGCATGGATGGTATAATCTGGAGTAAAACTAGCATTTATCAGCCTGCCAGTGGTCTTTCGCAAATCTCTCAACATCTCCCTGGGTGTGGACCAAGGACAAGAGTCAGAGCCTCTGGAGGCAATCTTTGAGGAACATTCTCCTTTTTATCCTTAGTGGGGGCAGCAGCAAGGTCTCAAGAAGAGTAGGAGGAGGAACCTCTTCTTTGGAAGTGGCTCCGTTTTATCGTAAATAGAGGAGTGACACAAATTTTCCCTTTTTAGACATGGCAAGTTCCAGCAATGGGCCTTAGGAAGAAGACGTTTCTGAGCTCCAGCTGTTTGAGACTCTACTATTACTCTTGCTGTGGTTGAAATCCCAATCTCCATCATTTCAGAGTCTCAGAACACTTTGTTTTCACCTGATCTATACTATGCTATTCCACAGCAGAGTATGCTGTCTGTGACTTAGTCTCCCATTCAGTTCTAATCTCTTCTACGTGTTGGATCTAGAATTCCCACAAAGATCCATGTGTTAAAGGCCTGACCCACAAGGAAGTGCTATTGGCAGGTGGTAGAAACTTTAAGAGGTGGGGTCTAATAAGAAGAAACTTTAAGAGGTGGGGTCTAATAAGAAGTTTTTAGGTCATTAGCAGTGTGCCCAACAGGGATAAGAAGAACCTGAGGAACCAAGGTGATTTTTCGCTGCCATTCAGTTGCAACAATATATATGCTGTCTTGGGTGGACTGAAATCTCCAAAACAGTGTACCAAAGCAACCTATTCTATTTATAAGTTTATTACTGCAGGTGTTGGTTATAGCAATGGAGATGTGTTTGGCATAATCTTGATGGCAGAAGTTCTGTCTGTTAGATTATGTTATACCAAATTACATTGGTAGTAGTTTAGTAATTTAGTTTTTTTGTTTGTTTGTTTGGACTTGAACTTTGAGCCTGGGCACTGTCCTTGAGCACTTTTCCCTAAGGCTAGTGTACTACAGCCTTGAGCCACAGCTTCTTTGTAATTCTTCCTAATGTGGTTTTTACTGACACTGCTTAATTAGAATTCTGCCTTTATTAAAAAAAAGAACCCACTCACATATTCCCTGAGGCTCATTATCACTATTAAATGAAGCTTATATTTAGTTTATTACAAGTTGCCAATCAAATGTGTGAAATGTAAATTTAAAATTTTAAACATATATGATGGCAAGTGTCATGATGAAGATAAAACCATTTTGATAGCAGAGAGATAATTGTGTCACACACACACACACATATATGGTTATAAATGCTAAAAAGTGATTTGGAATTTTACATTTAGTGTTAATTAACCAGGTAATCAATCAAGAATGTCTTGTAGCTGGATGCTGGTGACTCACACCTGTAACCCTAGCTACTTGAGAGGCTGCAATCCAAGGATCCTAGTTCAAAGCTAGCCTGAGAGAAAAGTCTGTGAAGACTTTCTAGCTATCCTGCTATTTTATGAAGCACTCTCCACGTCTCTGGAAGTCCTCCTTGCCTTGAAGTTTTCTTTGCAAGCTGCAGAGACACTGTAATGGTCATGTTTTCCTCATTCATCTTCTCCTTCTATTTGTGTTCATTCTCTGTTGTAATATTTAAAGGCATCTTTTGTAAACCATATAGTTGGGATTCTGCTTTTAAAAACACACAACATTTGAGCTAGGCATGGTGCCACCTGCCTACACTGCTAGCTCCTTGAGAAGCTAACATCAGGAGGTTCACAGTTCCAAGCCAGTCCAGGAAAAATGGCTTTTCCAAGACTAGGTCGCAAGGGAAGAAACTAGTGTGGTAGTGTATGCCTGTCCCCCCCCCCCCACCCCGTTACAACAGGAAGCATAAATAGTAAGACTGGCATTCAGGCCAGTCCAGAAGAAAAGGTATTTCTTTCAAAATAATCAGTGCAAAAAAATGGCTGAAAGCATGGCTCAGTGGTAGAGTTCCTGCTTAGCAAGTGTGAGACTCTGAGTTTGAATGTCAGTGCCATCAGAGCCAAAACAACAAAGAAAAACATGTTAACAACTTGTGTGTATGATTTCAAGTGTTTAATCCAATAACATTAATGAATGTTAAAAATTCAGGCATATCATGCTGCTGTTCACTTTCTACAGATTCCAGTTGTATTCAATCTTCCCCTTCTCTTTCCTTCTACCTTCTGGATTAATCTGTAGAATTCCCACTCAGCCAAGAGTGTGGAGAAAATGTCATCCCTTTCAAGACGCCTCATTCAATTTTAGGTTAGATTTTCAACACCCACCCCCAAAGCTAACACTACACTGGAAAACCACCATTCTTAGGGACTGAAGTGGGTAGGAGTTAGGGGTAGATTTATGCTGTTCCACCGGAACCTCGGGGAAGGCTTCCATTTCTTGTTCATCTCAAGTATACAGCTGGTTCCCTACAATGACTGTTTTGGTCAACCGTGTCCAGCTATAAGCTTTGGGTAGTGAGTGAGAGTTGTAGACCTCTTTCTTCTGCCAATTTTTAAAAAAATAGTTTATCCAATGTCAACAGCTGCAGCTATGTTTAAGTCACGTGACAGAGCATTTGCCAGAAAGCACAAGGCCCTAAGTTCAAACCTTAGTGCGGCAACAAGAAAAATCCAATGACAAATTAGTGTGTTCATTTGGATACAATTTAAAGAAGTACTAACGCAGCAAACAAAATGTGTCTTATTTGTGAAATATGGAATGGGAAAGAAAAAGGACTAAGCTAGGCGCTGGTGGCTCACACCTG